TGCTCTGTGTCCCCACAGAGGATTTTCAGGTGTTGTCACCTTCTCTGTGTCCCCACTGAGGGTTTTGGGGTGTTATCGCCTGCTCTGTGTTTTTGGGGCATTATCACCTTCTCTGGTTGGTTTATCAGCAGAACCAACCTCAAACCAGGTCCATTTTTGGGCCAAATCATCTCTGAGCTCTCATCTGTAGGAGCACAGAGCCTGCCAGGTCCTTCACCCTCCTTGGAGAAAACTCCAACAGCTCCAAAACTGGACAGTTCCTCCCCAGATTTTCTCCTTCAGCTTCCTTAGAGAAGGAGGTCCTTCAGCCCCCAACAGCTCCAGAAGGGAACGTTCCTCCCCAGATTCTCCTGGATCCAACCCAGTTATCCCAGATTCTCCTGGACATTCTGAGTGACCATTTCTCCTGCAGGGCCAGCAGAGCCAGGAGCAGCTGTCGGAGCTGGAGAAGGCCATGGACGTCATCATTGACGTCTTCCACCAGTACTCGCGCCGCGAGGGTGACAGGGACACCCTGACCAAGAAGGAGCTCAAGATGCTGATTGACAAGCAGCTGGCCAATTACCTGAAGGTGAGGTGTTGGATTGTCCCCAGAGTTTGGGTTCACCCCCTTCCTGTTCTGCTCTCCTGTCCAACCACCCCGTCCCAAATGTTCTCCATGAAGGAAACCCCACAGCTCTCATCTCTTTCTCTGCAAAATTCAGTCCAAAATCTCCTTTTCTTCCTGGAAGCCACACCCCAAACACTCCCAAAACACCATTTTTTTTTGTTTGGAACTCACCTTCCTAAAGCCAAAGGAAAATTTTGAATACCCAGGGGAGAAACTCTTGCTCTGCTCTCCTGCCCAACCACCCCGTCCCAAACGTTCTCCGTGAAGGAACCCTCATCCCCTTCTCTGCAAAAATCAGCCCAAAATCTCATTTTCCTCCTGGAAGCCACACCACAAAAAAACCCCAAAAACCCAATATTTTTGATTTGGAACTCACCTTCCTAAAGCCAAAGGGAAATTTTGTCCACCCAGGGATAAAACAAGGAGATTTTGCCCTCACTTTGTCCCCTCCTTCTCCTTCACAGCACGTGAAGAACAAGGCCACCATCGACCAGATCATGAAGGACCTGGACGTCAACAAGGACGCCCAGATCAACTTTGGGGAGATGATGCTGCTGGTCACCCGTGTCACCTGTGCCACCCATGAGCACCTGCACGAGGTGGAGGACCACCAGCACCAGCACCAGCACCAGCACCAGCACCACCACTGAGGCAGCCCCTCCGAGCAAAATCCTGGAGCTTGGAGAAGCTTCCAGAGCTGAATCCTGCCTTAAAATCCTCCCTCTCCTCCTCCTCTTCCTCCTCCTCTTCC